GGGTACCTGAGGGAAGGCCTTGTGCAGCGGGAGCCAGCAGCTGAGCGCCACGATGCCGGCCAGCTGGTGCTGGCACGTCAGAGCCGTGTACAGCGACAAGGCACCGCCCTGCAGGGGGAACAGGCACTCACTGGGCACCCACGGGGGTGCAGGGACACCCCCGGGCCCAGCTCACACCCTGTGACAGGTGGAGCAGGAATTGGGGTCTCTCACCTGTGAGAAGCCCCCCAGGATGATGCGGTTGGGGGGGATCCCGTTCTTCATCTCGTGCTCAATGATTGCTTTAACTGGAAGGAGATGGAGAAATGGGTGAGTGGAAGGGGAAAGGGCTGGAAAGCATCACTCCAAGCTTCAGGGTGCACATCAGGGACAGGGAGGTGCCAGGGGAAAGTTTGTGGGATCACAGGCCAGCAGAAACAAAGGAAAGGTGGAAGGAAGGCTCCTGCTGCAGCCACAGCGAGGGAGAGGCACACAGCAGCTCAGCACCTCCCCTCACAGAGCTCCTTACTGTTTTCTGCAGCTTTCTTGATCCCAGCCTCATCCTCAGGTGCATCTGGAGTCAATCCCATCAGGTCAAACCTGGGGGAAGCAGCAGGGTCAGCCAAAGCCTCTCCCAGCACCCTGAGTGTGGGGGGACAGGAGCTGGGGGGCTCTGCCCTTCCCTGGCCCCCACAGGTCAGTGGATTTTGTCCCCCCATCCCTCTCACTCCCCAAAAAGGTCCCACCCAGCCCTGTACCCCAAAGCACTGACCAGGAGGGCATCACCATCTTCATGTTGAGGGTCACTGGGATCCGGGGCCTGTGGAGGAACATTTGGGGTGGTTGAGCTCAAGTCTGAGGGGAGCAGGAAGGCTGAGACCTCCCCCTCCCTGCTGAGCCCCCTCCTGCCTGAGCAGGGATGCCCTGGGAGCTCCAGAGCCTTTGTTTGTCTCTCCCTGCAGCCACCAGGGATAAACAAGACAGGAAAGAAAAGAGCCTCTGGTGCTGCTCACTCTGTGGAACATGGAGCAGGAGCTGACCATGGCAGCAGAGCTGGGCAGCCCTGCAGGCCTCAGGCCTCCCCAGCAGCCTCAGGGACCCCCAAAAACCCCCCAAGAACCCCCCAGGGCAGCACTCACGCGTGAGGGCAGATGTACTTCACGTAGGGGAGGCGGATGGAGGACAGAGCATCGGCCCAGCTGTGCCTGGGGAGGGACAGGAGGAGAGTCCAAGGCTTGTCTGAGCCACTTCCCAAACCCTGCTGCCCCCAACCCGTCCCTTGAGCTTCCATCAGCCTGAACCCCCCCTGAAACCCCCCCAGAACTGATCCCATCTGGGGGGAGACCACAAAGCCCCAAAGCTGCAGGCAGGGAGGACAGGGAGGAGGGAATCTCCTGGATGGGGAGGAGGGAATGTCCAGACAGGAGGGAATCCCCTGGACAGGGAGGAGCCCTTTGTCACCACCATGGGACCCCGAGGTGGCCCTGCAGAGCAGAGATGCCCTGGTGCAGGCCCAGCCCAGCTGCCAGCCCTGGAAGAGCTGCAGTGCTTATCAGCAGTGCTTATCAGCAATCCCCAAGGCAGCAGGAAATCCACCCGCGGGGGGTGGGGGGCTGCCAGGCTGCCGGGATCATAAATATTCAAGAGCAGCCAGCTCTGGCAGCAGCAATTCCCTGCCATTCCCTGCCAGGCTGGTGCAGGAAGGGCTGCAGACCCCAGCCCAAAGCCCCACACAGATCCTGGAGATGCCCAAGGGAAAGCAGCAGCCAAAGGGCAGGATCTGCCTCAGGCATCCACACATCCTGGGCAGAGCCAGCTCAGGGACACTCACCCCGTGTCGCCAAGGCCATGGAGGAAAATGACCTGTTAAACAGAGAAGGGAGGGAATTAGCTGGTGTGAGAGTCACAGAGGGCTGGGCTGGGCTGCAGGGAGGTGGCAAATGGACACTTAGTCACCAACTGGAAGAGGCTGAAATGAGCGTGGAGCAGCGGATGGGTGGGTCAGGGATGTGGTGTCATCCTGCCACAGGCAGGTCCCAACTCTTCTGCACAGCACAGGGACAGGGAGTGACAGATCATCCCACCAGGGTGGCACCAGAGCCTGAACCCCAGAATGGGCTGGAAGGGATCTTAAAGCCCCTCCAGTGCCACCCCTGCCATGGCAGGGACACCTCCACTGTCCCAGGGTACTCCCAGCCCCATCCAGCCTGGCCTGGGACACTGCCAGGGGCAGCCACAGCTGCTCAGGGCACCTTCACAGGGAGGAATTCCTTCCCTGTATCACCAAGGCCTCACAAATCCACCTCCAGAGGCTTTTCATCTCAGGCTCCAGCAACCCCTAAACCTCGGGGAGCAGAGGGGAGGCAGCCTGCAACCCCAGGGAAGGACAGAGTGGGGGGGGGGTTCCTTTGGGAAATTTGCTTTTAAAAGCTTAAACCCCAGTGCCTTGACAAGCTGAGCTCCCACCCTGGAGCAGANCCCTGCAGATCAAGTACCGGATCACGGCCCGGCGCGAGGGGGACGTGGCCTCCTGCTACGCTGACCCCGCGCTGGCCGAGCGGGAGCTGGGCTGGAAAGCTGCCTTTGGCCTGGACAAGATGTGTAAGGGCATCCCCTCCCTGGCACAGCGGGCACTGCCAGCCCCCTGCCCTGCCCTCCCTCACCTCCTTCCTCCCGTTCCAGGTGAGGACCTGTGGCGGTGGCAGCTGCAGAACCCCACGGGCTTCAGCAAGAACTGAGCTGTGACCGAGGGCTGGCTGAGCCCAGGATGCTGTGAGCCAGCCCTGCCTCCTTCCCCCAGGGCTGTCACTGTCCTGGGAGGGCATTTCCAGCTCCCCTCCTGCCTCTGGCACGGGGCAGGAAGGCTGGAGCATCCTCAGCCTCCTCCCTCCTCATCCTCATCCCCCAGGTCTTTGCATCTCACAGAGCAGAACCACAACGAGCAGAGAACAGGCCCAGGCATGGAACCCCCATGGGAACCCCCAGGGGCTGCAGCCAGCCCGGGCTGGGAGCTCCTGGGCCCTCCCTGGGCCAGCAGAGTCCTGCTGAGCCCAAACTGTTCCCTCCTGCCCCACCTGGCTCAGGGGGAGCCCAAGGCCCCTCTGCCCCTGCCCTGGCACAGAGAAGGCATCAGGAACCTCCCACAGGGACCACTCACATTCCAAGGCTTCCTCCACTCCCCCCCTTTACCCCCAGCATGGTTTTGGGGACCATATCTCATCTCCCCCCTCTCCTGCTGAGCTGGAGAAGCCCCTGCCCAGGGCTGTGCCAGCCTGGCTGCCCACAGTACCCTGGGTGCCCGCTCTGGGCTCCTGTGGCAGCCACTCCCCACAGCCCCAGGCTGCCAAAGGCTGCCAGGAGCCAGCCCTGCCCTCCTGTCCCACACTGCTCCTGTTTATTCCTGGCAGCTCCCAGGGCAGGGATGACGCAGCCGGCCCCGTGTGCTGTCGGCTGGATGAATAACTTATGAATTGAGCTTTTGATTTGTTTTTAAAATAAACTTTCCTACTTTCTAAGTGGCAGCTTTGTTCTGCTTCCCCTCAGCCAGAGCTGCTGCCCCTATAAACGACACCCTGGGGCCTCATGGAACCCGATTCCACCCCAAATCTCCCGTCCTGCCTGGCCAGGGATGACGCCAGCTCGGCTCCGGGATAAGTTGAGGATTTATTTCACCTTGGTTCTCTGTGGAACACACACACACACAAAAAAAA